ATCACAACACAACACAAAATCCACTTTTATCACACACAAAATTTGTCTTACATCACCACAAAAAATCATCGTCCCTGATGCATACTGACGTCTATGGGAAATTGTTTGTACTTTTCGCTATAATCAAATCCGTAAACTCATAACTTACTTCAGCATGTTTTTCGCGCATTTGTAAACAGTAATTGAAGAAGTTATTCTGAGTACGTTTTTTTGTTGACTACATAATTAGGAAAAAGTTAACTATTTTAAATTTAGTACGAGTTAACAGAGTAAAAGAAACGCACGGTCCAATTTTGTCGAAGATCATATATAGATTCACGCGTTTTTTCTGAGGTTGTCTGTTCTAATGTATCAAGATAACTAGTATACGCATTTTCTAGATCCTCCCATGCTTTTTCTGGCGATAAGTAATCATAATCAAAGTCTTTAACAAAATCACTGAAACGCAGAAGTGTTGATTTTTCCATTGAAACTTTGTAAACTTTGTATGAATGAAATTTGACGCGTATCGGCGTAGTATGATTGGGTTATATATCTCGTGATCAAAAATGCCGATCGACCAATTGATATAATAAAATATTATGCCTAGTAAGACTTGCATCTTAAAGAGTCAGGCTTGTGCAGTGAATTCCGCTAGTCCTTCTACAAGGCCCGGAGTCTCCCCACTTGTCTGTTGTGCAGTGAACTCCGCTAGTCCTTTACAAGGCCCGGAGTCTCCCCGCATGTGCTCTTCTTTATCAAAGCAGATAAAAAAAAAATCACATATGCGTTATGGATTATGGCATTAAAAGAACGTCAGCCTCAATTGAGAGAGCATGAAGCCAAAATTCAAACATTAGAACTCCAGAACATTCAGATAGAGAAAAAAATAAGTTTTGCAGGTGGGCGAGTGAATTCATAATCTATCTGTTTCTTCACGATTTTTCTTTAAATCTTAGTGATCTTTTCACATTTTCTCTTGAGAATCTTCCACCCCTTGTTTAAACTAAAAGTTAACATCTTTTGTAAAGATTCTATCCTGTATTTAGATTGGATCACATTTCAATTATTATTAGAAAAAATTATTACACCGCCAAAAAATGTATACCCAACAAATACTTCACTCAACACCATAAAGGTTTAAGACCAAAACTATTTAATATATATATATGCTGGGTTTCTCGGAAATTTTGTAGCACAGTTCGCCTTCCTTTATTTTATACATACAACCTTGATTTTCTCCCTTGCGATTTTACGATATTATTACTTTCGACACTTGATTAATTGATTTTTTATTAAATAATTTTAACGTCATATTACTTCAATATTTAATCGAATACAACAATACATTCGTTACTGATTGGCTTTATGAGTTTTTAACTCAAATCAAGATAGAATCAGAAACCCGTAAAATTTTTTAGACTGATTTAAATGCCAATTGACAATTGATTTTATACCGATTTGCTGTGTCAATGAGAATTAGCTATCGTTTTTGACCTTTTGACCTTATGCATAAAAAATATTCCTGATATATTATATCAAATACTTTGGGTTGCTATCTTAAAGTTGTAACTTAGTAGTTGTAAATCTATTTTTAATAATAGTACTATTATACATAATGAACATTGTTTACTTTGAACTAATCATATCTTTATTTTAACGTCATAATTTTAATGTCAAACTGTGAATTAAAACAAAATTGTGTGGAAAAAGAAACATTATCTTTGAATTAATAAAAAATTTCATAACGTTGGCAACAATTAATACATAATTTTTTTGTAAGAAAATGCAATAATAATAAATAATTCACTTAGATACTTTTATGCTAAATCTCAATATATTTGTCACACACTTTTCTTATAACAAATATTAAAATTATTTATATACTCCTATAATAAATTTGATTATTATATTATCATTAACCTAAATATATCTTTGAACAACCACAGAATTAAGAAGAGATGCATCAGTCAAAGTTTGTGCTTCATTCTTAAGATCCTTTGGCGGGAATGTCGTTTGTAGAATATAGTCACGATGTGCTTCTCCAACTCGTGAACTAAGTAAATTAAGAAATTAAGATTTGATTAAATGAAATGAAAAGATACAAGCGCATATAATATAAAAGAATCACGTACGCGTTAATAAAATTTCGAATGTCACCGACAGTGTGTGTATGATTAAACCTAGCGAGCATTCTAAAAAAAGGCGAGGAAAGGATAAATAGTTGATTGATGAAACTATATATTTACAAAGATGAAAAGGATCTTGATACCTCGTTCCATCACCCAATCGGATTTGAATCGATGTTATTGGTAATGATTCATCTATCTCTAATTCTCTTGCTCTTTGTGTGGGTTCACTTGACGAAGTTGAAGGATACGTAACTGATGTATCACTAGTAATTACATTCGGTGTAAGGCTGTAAAGTTATATAAAGGTTAATACCGTTTTTTAAAAAATATTATTAGTAAAATTAATATAACAAACCTTCCAAGCCTTTGTCCAGCGCCTGAGAACGGCTTTGCAGGCTTTTTTGGTGGAGACTTATAATCCTCATCTAGCCTACGAGCTACACGTACATCCACAGGTTGATCTTGCCTTACATTTAACCAAGACAAAGGAGCACGTCTGCACAATTTTTATATAAACCATTAAACTCATAAGTGCATTTCGATTACATTTTATAAGGTAAAAATTTATCATCACATACCCACTATTAATAGCTTTTAAAAATTCTTCGTTTGCTGGATCATCATAAGCCATTAATGGACCTTCCTCAATACTGAACCCATTCCTCCAAAACGTTAAGTGACGAACGACCTACAATTTATGAAAATATTAATAAGTTTATGTTTTTGTATAAAATTGTTTGAATAATTAGACTCACCGGAGTAAGTGGTTCCGTTGGAGTAGTTGAATTAGCTGTTTGGTTGATTATAACTGAAGGTTCTTCCTCGCTCCCAAGCCTATAACCTAATTGCAATTTGAAAATTATAGACAAAATTTATATTTAATGATAATGAATAAGTATTTGAATTAATTACAAACCAGTTCCGGAAAAGAAAGAACGTTGAGTTGAAGTAGTAGCTTCTGGTTCTTCAACAGGTCCACGACCACCTCTACCATACCAATAAAAGCCGATCAATCTCTAGAGTTATTTTGATATTATAACTTAAATGTGCTACTTACTCTGCTGCTTTCTTTAAGATGTCGGAAACCAATGAATTTGATGGCTTTGTTGGTTTAGCATTAGGATTTTGCATAAAGACACCACTACATTCCAATAAATTTGTCACATTCAAATATTACAAATAAAAAATGCATTGTTGAGAAATCAAATGACAAAATTACTCACGATTTTTCGCCTCCAGCAAACAAGTTTTCGCGTTCCTCTTCCTCCTCTTCCTCCTCTTCATACTGTTCTTTTCCAAGATCGCGTAAAGTAGCAAACCGAGAACTTGTTGCAGAACTTTAAATATTTATAAGACAAATTGAAAAATATTTGGTAGAATTGTTAAACAAAAAAAAAAAGTACTAGAATACCTTTTATTTTTAGAGTCTACAGAAGTACTCGGGTTTGCTAAAGACTGAGTTTCCTGAGGTGGCTCTTCAGTATCTATGGAACCTGAGGCAGCATTCGGTTCTTCATAATAATTGCTTAATGCAGCCTATAAAATAAAACAAACGCGACTCTCAGAAGTTGGAACAATATTAAAGTATATAAATGTATTAAACAAATAATAACATTTAGATCCCAGGCATTTGCATCCAAGTAGAATTGTGCTTGTTGTTCGTTGCAAGAAACAATACCGGAGAACTGTTCAATCAATAAAGCCCGGTCAACTCTTTCAGCCATTGTAGAGATCAGAGAATTAAGACAACCTTTGAAATTTCATAGATACATGCATAACATGCATAACTTACGTAACTTAATACACATGCGCTATTTCACACGTGATAAGTGTCGCTTATACAATTTAAAAAAATTCCCTTTAACTTTTAACAAATTTTTGAATTAAAAGAAATGGTATGTTAACTGTAAAAAAAAAATTTTAATTAATATACTGTAATAAACTCGAAATTTATCTTTTATAGGATAGGTTCAATCTTAATAGTCAGCTTGAACACTGTAAGTTTTTAGCTATTTTAGTTATTTTATTTTTTGTTGTTAGAGATTGATGGTGTATTAACGGGTTTATTAACGAATTTTAGTACAATCCAAATATGTTGGAACCGGGCATGCAGACACAAATAAATTGTAAGCCATAGTACTTTTTATTTTCTTAATTTTACTGTTTAATAAATTCCATACACTTTTATCATTTATAGCGAATGGATGGTAAATCAACATCGAGATAGTTATGCTTCATATATTGGACATCATTCTTTAATCTCTTATTTCGCTGTAGCGCAAAACGAAAGTATTTCTAGAGTAAAATTTGAATTCGTGGAAGTAAGTGTTATAAATATACATCTATTGTTTTTTTTTAATATATGAATTATATGAATTATCTTAATTAATCTATTTCTCATTAAAGAAAATGCTGCAACCTTGTGGATTGCCTGTTCCTAGGGATGAATAGTCATATCCTTACCTTTTTTATAAAAGAATCAATGTTAAAAAGAAATCCTTAGCTTTTATTAAAAAAAAAAAAAAAAAAGTAAGAAATCAGAATCTTCTAATCTAGTAAAGAGAATTTATAGAAATTGTGTTTTTATTTCTTAGCTTTAGAATTTATAATGTACTGAAATAAAAATAAACCCTAAAAATACTGGTTTATTTAGAATATAACTATAAAAAAATTCATATGCAAAATTTTACTATTCAATTAATAAAGTTTGTGAGGAATTAACATAAATAAATAAATTTTATATAAATAATGAATTATTAATTAAAAGATAAAGTTAATTAATTAAATACACTTTTTTGTTATGCATATCATTAAGTTTTTTAAAACTAAATCATTAAATTAATAAATTAATAAATTATAATTTTAGAATTTAGATAAATATAAAATATTTAAATAAATCATAAAGTCTAAATAAAGATGATGATTTAATTAATTATAATAGATAACAAATAAATTGTAATACTTTCTTTTATCTAAAATAATATGAAAAAAAAACTAATTATTTATATTTTTTAATATTAAATTTTTAATTTATTTAAGAAATTTATTATTTTAAATTATAAATCTATTTATTTAATAAATTTTAAATTATTAATTAAAAATATTAAAAGATTCTACAAATTTATAGGTAATTTTATTTATTAATTACAATTATTTTTAATTATTTTTAATTATTTTATTTTAAAGAAATAAGATTACACAAACAAATCGAGTCTGGATTATAATCATTTGATTAAAAGATTAAGATCAGAAGATTAGCATCCCTGATGCTTGCCATAAGAAGGAAGTTCCTATCAATAAATAACACTGCAATAGATCCTAGTTCAGCACTAACCAAGTGCAGATCGTAGTATTAATTTACTGTGAGTTTTATCAGTTTGATTCTAAGAATGAATTTCATAGGATATGCACAAATTATATGCATTAAAGATCTGAACTTGTAAAATATGGTGAACTTGTATGATTATGCAAGTAGTCACATGTATAAAGAACTGATTGAGTTTAGAACTTATGTTAAGAGGCTGGCCTATAATGGGCAAGTGTCACATCATCTGCAAAGGATCATCCCTGATAACAGGACATGACAGATCAATAGTAGACGTTATATAACTTGGATTGAACAAGAGTCGTGAGTTATAAGTAACTTCTAGTTGAAGCACTGTAGCGTCTATAAGTCAATTAGGATTTGAGAGGCCTAAGTTCAATTCTCAGGGTGATTTTAACAGTCTGAACATATCAACTGTGTCAGACAGCTATTCTGAATTAAGTTAGTAAAGACTTCTCTTTTCAGTAATTGGTCAGAATCCTTCTCATTTAACAGTATCAGGGGTAAGCCATATGACGTCTAGAGTACATAGCTTATTATGAAGGCTAATATTCTCAGCAGTTCAGATCGACTTTGAAAAATAAGCAAGGAGAGGCTTATTTTTGAATACGATGACATATCAGATATAGGAGCTGCAGCCAGAATATTCAGACAACTGATCACTAAAACTTAAGTAAAAAAAAGATTAAAATCAGATTTTAATCAGTTTTCAAATACTTTTTTAAATAAGTAAGCTGAAAATATAAATATATTTTAATTATTTATATAAAATAATGAAAAGATATATAAATTAGAAATTAAAATCTTCCATTTATGCTACAATTGAGAAAAAAAATCAATATGTATTATATTTTTTTAGAAAATGTTAAAGAATAAAAAAAATAAATACAATTTAGTAATCAAAAAATTACTTTATTACAAATAAAATTATATTTTATATATAATAATAATAATGGATTTTTTCTCAAATCCCAAAAATTTATATTTGATATAAATTAATTATGAAAGAAAAATCTTAGTTTTTTATTGTTATTTTATATTATATTTTTTTATGAAATTGAAAATAAAACAAATTTTCTTATAAATAAACTAAAAGAAATATTAATTAAATAAAAATTCAAATAAAATCACCTTTTCATTTATACTTTTATATTTTTTAAAGTCTAATTATGTCTAAGTTGATGTTTATAAAATAAAAGAGAGGAAATGTTAAAAGTATTTTTTAAATAAAGAAAATTAAAAAAACATATTCACTAACTCATTCTTTCCTATTTTTACCTAAAAATAAGATCTGATTCTCTAAATCTTTAAGGCAACGTCCTAAAAAAAAAAAGAAAAAAAACATTAATTTTGTTTTTTAAATTCTAAAGTAAAATAAATTAAATACCTAATCTTATACTTATCTAATAAAAGTCTAAGAAATCTGAAATTCTTTAAAAAAAATATCTTTAAAATGGTATTCTAAAAAAAAAGAAAAGAAACATTAATTTTATTTTTAAATTTTAAAGTAAAAAATAAATTAAATACATTTATTTTACAATATCTCAAGAAGCTTAAAATACTTCAAAAGGATAAATCTCTAAAGTGTCATTTTAAAAAAAGAGAAAAGAAATATTAATTCTATTTTAAACTTTAAAGTAAAAAAATACCTAGTGCTGTATTTATCTTGTAAAATCTAAAAAACTCAAAATGCTTTGATTATGTACAATTTTATTTTAAATTATAACTTAGTTATACCTTATATGGGGCATGCTGCAACAAAACCAGACAAAGTGAACATTGGTATTACCAAAAATTTTAGGGATCAAAATTTAGTCATTTGTAATGTGATCATAATTAATATCCCATTTGTTATTTTAAGTGATATATAGTACTACTCCTATATAAAAATAGTTAATATGAAATTCATTTACATCAGATCTACTATAGAATCCAAGAATTATAGTACCATTAGAAGTATTTTAAAGAAAGAATAAGGTGAGAAAATTGCTCCATATATTTTCAAAATAAATGATACTTAAACACTTGAAACTTATTTAAGAAAAGAAAGGATTACTTATGAAATTTATCAAGAAGAAAGAAAAATAATAAATGTTGGAAAAAGAAAGCATCATGATGATGCATTTTTACCTAATAAAAAGCAAAAATCCCTAAAAGGAAAATAATTACCATTTTCTTTAATAGTGGATGAATTTCAATTTATATAGAGAGAAATTTCCTCAATTACTTTTTTATTTTCAATCAAGATCATCTTTTAATCTCTTTAACTTCAATTTGAGCAATTAATTGACCATTTTGTTGATCTTTTAATTTCCTGTTTTCTTCTTCTAGATGATTAATTTTCTCTTCTAAACTTTTTATCTTATCTAATAACTCCTGTTTTTGCTTTTTACTTCACTCTTCTGATTTTTCCTGAAATTTGGCTACTTCTTCTCTTTCAATTTCTAAGGCTTCTTCAGTCTCATTTAGTTGTTCTTGTAGGGAGCTTATTTGACTTTCATAAAAAGTAGACTGACTTATTTCTTCATGAGGTAAGAGAGGAAGTTCCTTCTCTTCTAAATCTTTATTGTTTCTAATACAGTAGCAAATATTCTTACCATTAACAATATCAAAATCTAACTTAATTTGCAATCTACCACATCTATTGCACTTTGACAATTCATTGTCCCAATACTTTTCTTCACATCTTTCATAAACTATGTCATCTGAAATTCATTCTCCAGTTACATTATTACGAAATCTTATTTGGTGAATAGATTTATTATTTTTGTTTTCAAATTTAGAGCAAAAATCACAAGTTTTTTTACTTTTTTTTTCCAATTCTAAAACTGTGTATTCCAGTTCTCTCATTGCAATTTACTCTTTATTTAGACTTGACTTCTACTTGAGCAATCATTTCTTGGTTGTGAAATTTTTCCTTTTTAATTAATCTTTGCAATTTTTAGAACTTAACTTTTGCTTTTGTTTTTAATTGCTTAAAAATGGTCTGTTTAGTTGATAACTTGTTCTCTTCTACAGGTAAAGCAGGTAAGGGTTTATTATCTAAGTAGAATGAATTCTTTAGATTTTCATTTTGTATTTCACTATCAGTTAATTGCTTACTTAGTTTTTCTATTTTTTTGCTCTTTTGACTTGATTCTTCCTTCAACTTTTCAACTCAGGCTTCTAAATGAGAAATCTTTTTACTAGCACTCTTGAGTTTCTTGTTTTTTTCTTTTATGTCTTCTGCTTGAGCTTTACTTCATTTTTCACCAGTTGCTACAACTTCCTTAACTTGTTCCTATTCTATTTTTACTCTTTCTTCTAACTCTTCTACCTCTGCTTCTAATTCTTTAATTCGTTCAATCTTGCTTTCTATAATGTCTTTAAGAATTATATCTTTAGCAGGTTTGCTTCAAATATTACTTCCTTCTTCTATTCGAGAAAAAATATGAACTCTTTCATTTCATAGTTTCCAATTTTTTTTCAATTCAGTGGCTAACTCAGTGTCTTCAAAGTAATCTATAATAATTCTCTCAACAATTTTTTCTAAGTTTTCTTTGCCTTCCCATTTATAGTCATACATAAGACTATGTTGAAAACAAACATTCATAAATTGATTTCTTAATGGCTTGCTAATCAATTTTCTTAAATCTTGCTCAATATTCTTGCTACAATAAGGAAATCTATTTTTCATATCTACCAATATTTGGTGAATTTGGTCAATTGCTTCTTGCTTAAATTCAACTTCTTCTTGTTCACTTACTTCTAGATTTTTTAATTCAGTAATTTCTTGTTCTTTATTGAATAATTGCTTTTTCAATGTTTCAATTTCATTAATTAGTTCTTTATTTGCTTGTTGTTGTTCTTTTAGGATGTTTGTCATGATTTTTTGATTGTTCCTTTTTTTATTTATTCTTTTAATATACTTATATCCTTAGGGTATGTTAAGTATATAATTATTTTAGTACCTTTTTACTTTAAATGTGAAAAAAAGCTAACAATATTTGTTAAAAGATTAAACTTATTAAACTTAATGACAGTAAGAAGTTATAGAGGTGATTTTATTCTAAATATTCTATTCATTGCCAGTATATATTGGTCTTGGGCAAGTAATATCTTTGTATTCATCTTTCATAAATGGGCGAATATTCTGGTAAAGATATTCTTGCCTTTTGTAATCCAAAGGAGGTGGTGTCAATACTAAAATAGATAAAGTCTTGATATATTTGTTTTCTTAGTTTTTAATAAATTGAATTTAGTAAAAGTTCCATTAACCACTTCCTGAGTTTTGATTACACCAAGATTAGATGCTTCAAAAAGAAAATGTTGATACTTTTATAAACCATTTAGTTTCTTAAAATAAATTTCCAAAATAGCTTTAATATCCAAGTATTGAAAACCTTTTCCACCTTCATAACATTGAGCTTTATTTAATCCTGCTGGACTAAACTTTTTTACCACTTCAACCATATGATCCAGACAGTCTACTCTTATTCTTTTATAGAGTTTTTAATCATCCCAAAATTGCCATCACATTTGAATTTGGTATGTTCTGGAACCATGAAATTTAATTCAATGTTTTCATAATAATCACAAATTACCAAATATAAATAAAACCAAACTGTTACATTGTTTTTATTCTGTCCACCTGCATTATCACAAGTAATCTTTAAATGCTTTTCACCTCTATTCA